TAAACATTAAATTAATTAAAACCAAAATTACGAAATAAAAAATATTAAAAAGAAAAAAACTAATTAAACTTAATTAAAATTATTAAACTTAATTTTTTATTTAGAATTATTTTATTTTATGTATTATTTAGAATTATTTTATTTTATATATTATTATTATTTTTTTTAATACATAAAATTTTTTATTTATTTTTTAGCTATTATTTTTAGTTATTTTTTTTATTTCATTTTAATAATTAAATTATTTTCAGACAAAACATTTATTTTTAGTTATCAACTCATAAAATTATAAAAAAAAAATATATAAAAATAAAAAAATTATTAAAAAAAAGAAATATTTAAAAAAAAATATTTAAAAAAAATTTTATTAAAAATACAAATTTTAGTAATAAAGTTGAAAACATATTAAAATATAAAAATAAAAATAAAATTTTTTGAAATTTTCAAATTAAAAAATTTTGATCATACATTTTTTTTTTCTAAAATATGCTCTGCTATTATATATTATATTTTTTGCTGAACTGCAAAAGAATCGAAATGAATTTTTGACTTATAATTTTAGATTTAGAATACTTTTTGAAAAAAAAGTAATAATAAATGAACACATAAACGGGAACAAGCGTATAAATTTTATAAAAATAACAAAATATTAAAAAAAATTGAAAAGGTAAGCAAATTACAACAAAATAAAACAATTTAGAATTTTTTTTATTTTATACTTTTATTAATTTAAAAAAAATCGAAATTGGGGTTTTAACTATTATCTCATACTTAATATATAACACAAAAATTAAATTTTTCGGTAAGAAACATAATAAATATGTAACAAAGTGTAATGAAACTAAGAAAATAATTAAGAAAAAATATCAAATAAATAAACATTTAAACAATAAACTTTTTTATCTTGTAAAGTATGTAAAGAAATTTCGCTTATAAAATTCTTTAGTTTAGGAAAATTTTTATGGCATAAAATAGCGTAACGATTGATTGAACACCCTAGACACTAAAAATCGAAAGATAACCAAAAATTATGAATTTAAAAAAAAAAAAATAGAAATATTAAAAAAAAAAATTAAGTTAGAATTTTAGAAAGTTTTTAGAATAAACACTTTATTACTTTGTTATTTTTGAGAAACAAATCCCTAGCAGCTAAGATCATTATTTTTTTAATGATTGAAATCACAGCACATGCGCCTTAATAAAACGCAATTTCGGTTTACAACAGCCGCCGTTTATTTATCATAAAAATAATTACATTGTTTAAAATGTTGTTTACTGTGGCGCAGCCGCCGATATCTATTTATATAAGAAAAATCATTATTATTTTCCCTGTCAGATGCTTTGCGGGTTTTTGCATTGTTGCCAGGAATGTGTTAATTAAAACAAAAAAAAAAAAATACCGCCCGCAAAAATCAGAAAACGTTTAATTCTACAGGAATCCCATTTAACACCTGTTTGCCTTTAAATCACTCGCACACGTTATCGTAGGCAATTAATGTGTTTCAATTTTTTTTATTTGTTTTTTATGCATTTATTTTCCACCGCAGCGACTTAAACGTCGCGCTATAGGCGATTAACCGATTGCCGGTCACGTTTTTGAAACAGTGCAAGCGACATATGCGCATGTGTCTATGTATGTGTGTGTGTGTGTCTACTTGCAAGCACATGTGAGTAGGTGAGGTCGAGAATCCCCTTTTTCCAAAATAGGGGGTGTGTTGGGATTTTTTATGCTTTTTTTTTACTTTGCTTTGACTTTGTATATATTTTTTATATTTTTTATACTTATATATTGTATAAATTATCCTCGGCATAAACTAATTATTTCGAGTTATTTGATTTATTCAAATTCTTAGAAGTTGTTAGCAGAAAACTATGCACCTAAGTTTTATAACTGAGAAATAATTGCCTATCAACCACAAATGGAAATTGATGAGCCGCTAGAAACCCACAAGAAATTTACAAAACAATTTATAATTATTCGCAGAATAGTAAACGAAAGTGATGAAATGCGAAATATTCATTTTTTTTGGTACATATGTACCATACATCCATATACGACTAAAATCCGGTTAAGAAAAAAATTGTGAAATTCATGTATTTCATATAATTAATTTGTTAGGCAAAACAATTGTTTAAAAAAAAAAAAACTATTTAAATTTTTTTTCCAAAAAAAAAATGTTTAAAAAATTGTTTAAAAAATTTTTTTTTTGTTGTTTAAAAAAATTTTTTTTCCTATTAAACTATTTAAAATTTTATTTTCCAAAAAAAAAAAATGTTAAAAAAATGTTTAAAAAATTTTTTTTTTTCGAAACCAATTTTTTTCGCTTAACAAATTATTTATATGAAATACATGAAAAAAATGTTTTAAAAAATTATTTTCGAACAAACATTATTTGTTTAAAATTTTTTTTTATATACATATATAAATTATATAAAATATATCCAAAAAAACAAACTATTTGAAGAAACTACTTCGATTTAGTTTAATAATTTTTAATGTCAAACATTATTTGTTATGTATACAAATTTTATAAATTTACAATAATACGCAGTATATAGTAAACGAAAGTGATGGAAATATTATATTAATTTCTTATACAAGTACATGTACTCATACAACCATAGCCACTAAAATCCGGTTAAGATTAAATAAAATTTTTTCTGAAATTCACATATTTCATACAAATAATTTGTTTAGCAAAATAAATGTTTTCCAAAAAAATAAATATATTTAAAAAAAATATTTTCCAAAAGAAAAATTTTTAGAAAATAATTTTTAAATAATTTTGTATGGCAAACATTTTAATTTAAGTATAATATATATATAATAATTTTATGGTTTTTACAATTAAAAAAAAACTAAAAAAAACTGTGCAACTGAAGTTAACGTTTTCTCTTGTTCTCATCTAAGATTGTAGTATTATATATTAGCCACGATTGAAAACATGACGCAAAAGCGTAGCGTTTATCATTTGAAAAAAATATTTTAGATTTCGAGAATTTAATAAATTCTTAATTAAATACGTTCATGAGTCAATTTTCAAATGTTAAGTATTGAACATATGATAAACAGTCAATGACAGACGACCGATAATGGTTATCAATAAACTGATTGCACACGTGATAAAAAATGTATTTTTCTGACTTCTTAACATAATCATTTGATAAAAATATTATTTTTTCGAAATCGCCTACAGTGGGTAAACCACACGGCGCGAGTGGAAAACCCACAGTGCCGCTGAAGTTTTCATAAGAAAAAATTTACTGTCTTACTGTTTATACTTTGTATTAACTTGAATTATGAAATAATCGGAATTAAATTAAAAATATTTCACAACCCAAGCGAGCAATTATCTATGCATTTGTATGTGTAAATGTATGCATGTATGTATTGTGATATATGCTTAAGTGGCATCACAGCTACTCTGAGCACACGTTAAGAAAAGTTGCATTATTTGCACATAATTACAACAACAATGTAAATTTGTTGAGTTAGAGTCCATTTGAAACTAGCATTTAAAAATATTAACAATTGTTTAGTGCACTATTAGCAATAATTTAATTTTATGTTACATTTTTGCAAAATATTTTGTTGTGAAAATTAATTTTTTTGTAGTGAAATATGCCTCGATGTAATATTGAACGATCGGAAAACCTGGCTCGAGGAAGTGTTTAGATTTTTTTTTTTAAATTTTTAATAGTTTTTTTTTCAAACTGTTGTTAATGCATAAAATCAATAAATACATAAACAAATAAATATTAAGAAAAATATCACTTAATATAACATTCATAGTTAAAAACGAAAATAAAACATAACAAAAAAAATAAAAAAAACATAACAAAAAAAAAAATAAAAGAAAAATTTAAAAAAAATAATTAAAAAAAAAAAAAAATAAAAAAATAAATAAAAAATAATAATAAAAAATAATAATAAAAAATAAAATAATAAAAAAAATTAAAAATGTTATAACAGATTTTAAGCGAAAACTGCCGTAAATATATTTTATGTCAACCTCGTATGTGCCTAAAATGTATAAAATTATGAGAAAACAAAAAAAATTAAATAAAAATATTGAGTTTAAAAATTGAAAATTTAATTAAATAATGATCATAAAAATTTAAAAATTTTTTTATAATTTGTTTTAAAAAGTAAACCGTTTTATATTTTATAGTTTGAAATTATTATTTTTTAATTACAAATTGTTGTGTGTTTTTATATATACATTTTTTTAAATAAAAATTTTTATTTCAGTTTTTTACATTTTAATTTTTAAATTTTTAAATTTTTTTATTTAATTTTACCTTTTGTTTCCAATTTTTATTTTTTATTATTTTACTTTCAATTATTTTCTGTATTTTTGCTTGTAACCTTTCATGTAATAAAACTAGTCGTAATCGTTTGCTATCAGTTCTATTTTATTCTGCGCACTTACTAATTATTGATTTAAGTGGCAATTTAAAGCGATTAACGCCGAGAAGAAGCATATGTACATATGTACAATACATACATATGTATGTGGGTTGGTATATTTATAAAGCTATTTCCAAGCAGTTAATAATTTTACGAGTTGAAAATTGTCGGCTATAGTAGACATAGTTTTAGATAATTCTCAGAATTTCACATGGTGTGATATAAATTCTTTTATATGCGTAAATAAAACCATATTCGCAGTACACGTTTTAATTATTTTATTTTAAGGTTTTATTCTTTTTTTACACATATATTTTATTTGTTTTTTTATTTCATATTTTTATTTTACGTTTATTTTCTATATATGTATATATATTTTTTTTATTACTTGTTAAGATTTGAATTTTTTACATTTCATTCTTAAATATTTAATTAAAACAACATTCAAATGCTGGCACCCACGCAATGTTACTCATACGCCTAGTAGCATCGTTCGCCAAATATATGAATGTTTAATGTCGGCATACTATGTATGTTATATTAACATAGCACCAAAATTGTTTGTTTATTAATTGTTACTCATACGTACCGTTGCACTGTATCTGCTCAATGCCAGTGGCCAGCACGAGCAATGCGCTTAACAGCAAATGTAATCCCTTCGCCATTGCTGTTGTATGAATTTTTCGCTGAACGCTTTTAGCACTGTTATTTCAAAGGTTTTTTTTTTATTTTGCAAATAACGAATCGTATCGAATTTAATATTTTTTTACTTGTATAACCAAATAAACGCGCAACTAAGCATTAAGCTTGCTTAAATTTATCTGAAAATAAAAATTAAATAATTATTTTAATAAATAAAACAAATTAAACGATAAATTATTAATATTAATTGCTTAATTATTCTCTATTATTTAAAATATTTTATTATTATTGTTAAGCTTATACTTTTTTCTACAATATAAAGTTAATACAATATGTTAAAACTACTGAAACTAGAATAGAAAACTATTATAAACAAAATTGTGAGCAATGTTATGCATTTTGGTACTTTATGATTTTTTTTGCTTAAATTTATTGTGAAATTTTTTCGGTATTAGTTTTATATGAGTTTAGAAATTTTAAAGTATTTTGTTAATTATATTTTAAGTCTTTTATTTTTTACATTGATTTTATATATACGAACTAGTTTACACAGTTTTTGAGATATCAATCCGAAATTTTGCACCCGTCCTTTACTCACAAAATAGCTGCTCATTTGTGAGAACGGCCGATACCGGACCACTATAGCATATAGTTACTCTACAAACTGAGCGAGCGGAATAAAGTGCTTGTATGGAAAACTTTTTCATTTGACGAGATCTCTACAAGAAATTAAAAAATGGTGTAATCTCCGAAGAAATTGTTCAAATCGGATCACTAAAGCATATAGCTGGCATACAAACTAACTGATCAAAGTTCTTGTAAGAAAGTTTAGTATATGTGAATTGTATAGCAACCGAATTAAACATTTTTCCTCCTTTTAAGATAATATAGTCTTTGCCGTCGGTGTAAAAAGATTTTCTTCATCATTTACGTACTTTTTTAAACTTTTGTATAATTTTTTTGTTGCATATTCTTGTAAGCATATTTTCGAGAATTTATTCATTAATTTTTTTATGTATTTTTATGTATATATTTTTTTTCCAAAATTTTAAATTTTTTTGCTACAGTTTAAATTTTTTATTGTAGAATGGAATTTTCTGCTCTTTTTTAGATTTTTAGGTATTGATCTCAGGCTTATTAATATTTTATAGAAAAATAATGATTTTTATTAATAATACTTGTTTTTTTTACTTTATAAACATATTTTATTTAGATATATAAATATTTTTTAATTTCATATTCCACAGTTTAAATTTTTAAAAATAGTTTTTGCTGTTTTTATTATAAATTTTTAAATATTACTTGTGTATATACATAGAATTAAGAAAAATAAATAATTTAATTGTATATTTATTTTTTTTTTGCTTTTATTTTAATGTCTTATGCCACAGTTTCAATATTTTCTAATGGTTTTTGCTGGTTATTATACTTTTTTATTAAATTTTTTTTATTTCTTTCATGTGAGTTTATAGTATTTTTTTCTTTAATTTTATTTATTTATTAATTTTTTGTGCAAAAAAAATTTTTTTTAAGCTTAAACTTTTGTGAATATTATTGTTTATTTTATGAACATTTATATATTTATTTATTTTTGTAAATTTTTAGTTTTATAATATCAGAATTTTTTTGTGCTTCTTTGCATCAATTTGCTTTTTGTTGTTTTTATGAATAGATGTATTTTTATTTCAAGTTTTTAAAAAGTTTAATTATTGTTAAGCTATTTGTCATTGTTATAGATAATATTTTTTTTTTTTGGAAAATTTATTGAGTTATTTGCTTTTTGTAAAATAGAAAAGTTTTTTTAGAGTTCAAAATTTAATGAATATTATTGTATATTTTATGAACATTTATTTAATTTGTAAAGTTTAAGTTTTTCAATTTCAGAATTTTTTTTGTGTTGTTTTGAATACTTTTTCTTTGTTGCTGTTATTATGATTTTTTTCGTTTTTATATATAATTATTTTTTTGAAATTTTATTTATTTACTTATTTATTTTTTGCAAAGTTGAACATTTTTTTCAAGTTCAAATTTTTATGAATATTTTTTTATATTTACGAAATTTTATTTATTATTAATTTAGTTTTGTTAATTTTAAGTTTCTTAGTTTCAAGTTTTTCAAGCTTATTTTCCTTTTTGTATATTTTATGAATATTTTATTATATTGACCTCTTTCAATTACCTTCACTATTCCCACCACTTCACGCTAAGTATATTTTTTAATTCCGCGCTAACGAGTTAGCCCTTTAAAACAAAACCGACATATTCGAAAATATTTAAATATATATTTTCTTTTTCGATTCCGCTTATAAGTCGCAACGCTAGCAGCCAACGCGTCAGGCTTAACTTTCGCCAAATCAAAAGCACTTTTCGTATGCTGATTTCTTGCTTTCTATATTTTACTTTTTTTAGAAAACGCGATAATTCTACTTGCCCGCTATTTAGCCCGTTAACTGTGGTATGATTTCGTTTTGACAGTACTCAGGCACACATATGAGGCGCAACTCATCCGCACGGCTGGAATTATGGCGTTCAACTAATTAAATGTATGCGCAGCGTTGCCGTCTTAAAAAGACGGTTTGTCAAACAAATATTCAACAATTTCAAGTACTGATTGTTTTCATCATATTTATTATGGTTGTTATTATTGTTGCTGTTGATGGTTGTTGTTGGTTTTTTAATGTATTTGTGTGTGGGTCTTGCAATTATTTATCTCTAGCATTGTCCGATTGAAGTGCGGTTCTTAACGCTGATATTGTAGCTAACTGGCTGCTTGTTGTTGTTGTTGTGGGTGTATATTTTTTTTATTTGTTGTAATTTATTTACACTCATAAACACTTCACTAAGAGGGCTACAGCGATATTGAAGTTGTTGCTTTCTTCTTGTTGCTATTGTCGTTATCATTACTGTTATAATGAATCGTAAATTCTGTAAGATATTCATAGAGTTATATATGTGCGTATGTGTATGCGAGTTATTAGTTGATTACGTAGATAATTATGAGTATTTTTTTTTGTTTTTGCGGGGGAGGTTGATAAAATGCCTTACGCATAGTCATTGTGTCGTCACAGCAATGGTATATGTCACTTGCAGGTCACTAAAAACTCTCCTTTAGGGAACAGTCGTCAATCCGGGGACCGCTTTCGCATTACTTCACATGGCGTTCCATATTTCTCGTCTTAAAACTTACATGTCATTACCTGCGTCCATATCCCGTTTTTAAATCCGTAGTACATTTTCCATATAATTTTTCACGTTCTTCTGGTTTTCCTCATTTTGAAGCATGACAGTTATGATGTTTTCCGCATTCAGGGGGCCGATCAAAGTGTGGAGCCTATTTCGCCGCGTTTGCCAGCGTGTACATTTGAAAAATGTGTGTTCAGCGTCGTCCTCGAACGCGTCGTTGTATATACAGGACAGCTCTTCGACTTTTGCCATTTTATGTAGATAATTCCTAAAATATCCGTTCCCGGATAGCATCTGAGTACTGTAAAAATCCACCTCACCATGTTTCCTGTTGGACCATTCTTTTATGTTTCGGATTAGTCTGGCCGTTTATCTACCGTTGCTTTTTTCTTTAAAGTCCACCTTATCTTTCGGTCAAATGCTAATAAGTCGTTGGCTGTGTTTCCGCTTACTACATATACAGCTTTGCCCGTGACTGTACGATATGCCGCTACTATCCTTAGAGCAGCTGTGCGATATATATTTCATGTGTAAATACGGCATTAACAATTTTATATGCGTTCAGTTGGAGAGGTGGGGCCCGACCACCTAATTTTTTCATAACGACTTTGTACCCTAGACCCCACGGGTTTATGTTTAGGTCGTTTCGAAGCTGTTCCTATTTCGAAAGCCCGCTTTAGTTCTTTCTTCGCGGCGTGAAGACAACACATTTCGTAATGACGCTCCGTTGTCTTTTAAAACAGGACCGTGTCCGCAGTAGCTGTTTCCTTTTGTTGGCTTAATAATGACAGCTTTCGATTGTCTTTTTGGCTTTCCGTCAGTTTTTTTGGAGCCCTTTGTCGATTTTTGACGCTCGTCGGGTTTCCTTGGCTTCTTCGAGGACGTGTAGCGGTGCTTGTTTCTGCAGCACTGCTGGCGTGTCGTTTGGATGTTGTGGTCTGGGAGTATTGTAATCGGTTAGTTTCAACTATAGGCAGCGATTTATTCTCTGACATCACCCAGTCTCTTTGATATCCCAAAGCTCCTTCAGCCGCGCTGCTCCGTTTTTTACGTCGACGCCACTATATTCAATAGTCATCCGATATTCGCGGTTCCAACAAATGAACAACCTCATGATCATTTCAGATCTATATCTCAAAACCTACGCGACTTGTCCTTCTGGCTGCTACAAATTTCGTGACCAACTTAGTATACCCTGCTCATAGAAAAGTCCACGACAAACCTATTCCCCGAAATTTTGTCTAAAAAGCCTTATCTTACCCACGACGTGGAAGGCGGTCGTGCTCTACATACAGGAGAGTTATGCATTGAAAGCTATTTGTGTATCCTTTGTAGGGTATTCGTAGCAATCGGTAATATATTCTTCAGCGTAACTCTCGACAAACTAAAACTCTTCAAAATTGTCGGTGCAAAGTCTCTAATAACATCCAGTTTAAGATACTTTAAGCTAATAACCAGAATCTAGCGTTAAATCTGGAACAGTGTAAATATTTAATACACCAGAGCCTTTAGCCTCTCCTGCGAATAGAAGAAACAGAGAGTTTGCCGTAATTTTAAAATTTTTTGAGAGTAACGGAATCCTTGCGACTTTCTAATAGCTCCATTAGCTTTCTCTCAGCTACAGACGTACAGCTCTAATTTTGAGTTTATACATAAAACTCTACGATAAGCATCTTTCAGACTCAAATTTCTAGAAATCAGCTATAAACCAATATCCTGTTATTTTAAAAAATGAAAATGCGAAAAAAATATTCATTACGACTGCACACTCTTAATAGACATGACGTTTTCACTTAAACCATTATCTCTAATCACGGGAAATGCCTAATAAAGTGTAAAAAATATTAGTTACTTACAAAGCTTGGAATATTTATTTGGATGCGGTTCTTAAATATTGTCATTAGCAAAATTTTCATTCATAAAATGAATATGTAAATAGTAAAACCAGTTATATGATATTTTTATTACAAGTTTCACGAGTCGTGCGTCACAACTTTTTTGAGCAGGTTTAACAGTTTTTTTTTTTTATAAAATTAAAATTAACAAATTGCTGAAGTATTTTCATATTTTCCGTTAAGTCCAGTGATTTATTGAATAAAACGTTGCAAACTATTGTATTATAAAGAAATCTGTATGATTTCAAAAGGCAAAATTGATCAGAGAATCTCGAAATTCGTTGCACAAATTTATAATCTCAAAATTCAAGCCATGTATCAACTGAAAAAACTTCTCGTTAATATTGAACACAGACACAGACCTGCTCTGCTAAAAACATAAGTGTAGTGAGTGAGTTTCTCTCTTAGTTCTGCCAACCAAAGTGCTTTTGGAGAGAGCATTCGCCTACAAAAAAAAGTTTTTTTTTAAGTAACCGCACCACAGCGCCAACTTTGATTAAAAATAGACAATATTCGTCATTTCAGTTGTCAACTATGTAAGTCTTGCAAATAGGTCCGCCGTTATACTCAGTGTGTAAATAATGCCAAAGCATTATATAATATCAACAAATCAAGTTCTCCACACAGTACACACAAGACGGCTGACTGTCATGCACACAATGAGAGCGTGCGTAATAGATCTGGTGAGCTGGTTCACTACTGCGTGTGTTCTTTTTTGTCGTCTAGTATCAACGAAGTCAATCTCACAGTAAAATGTTGAATGAGCTCGATTGCAAATCAACAAGCTGGTCTTTATCACACTACCGTGTTATATTATTATTATTATAAAAACTATTTGTAGTTATTTGCGCAAGTAATTCGCACATTATTATTATCGCATAGCTGTAAATTGATTGGTTTGACTTGTCACAGGTCTTAAATAGCACCGAGTGAACGCTAAGTGGGCGTGAGATTGCGAAAAGTCAATGAAAATATCAGAAAAAATATATAAACCGACAATAAGAAAATTAGTACGGTAAGCAACAGAAATTTATTAAATTGTCTAAACACTAGTCGAAACTAGTTTGTTATCGATAACACAGATAAAAAATTGCATATTCTATGATCTTAAATCACTTCAAAATTCAATGGCACTTCGAGTAGAAGGACTCATTGCCTACGTCGCTGTATTTGCTCACATTATGTACTCCACTTTTTTTGTATAGTATAGTCCTATAAGACTGCACCCAAAACCAGTTATAAATCCAACTCGTGCAAAATGTGCGCGAGACTAAATTCTTTGAGTGCGGTACTTTGTAGTCACAGCAAATACTAGAGAGGACTTGCGATCGTCGTAGAATAGGTATTTATTTTGCTTGATCTAAGATGTATGCCCTCATTCTTAACTAATTTTTCGCGAAACAAAATTCTTCGTGACGGTACTGGTCTTCGGTAATCGGGTATTCAGTTGTAGGGACTCGAAGCTAATTAATAGTAGAGAGGTCTTGCAATCGTCGAAGGATAAAGTTTTTCTGAACCCCGAATACGAGTATATGAGTATACAATACCAAGTTGATAGTTTGTATACGGTAGTCTGTGCGGAGCGTAGTAATTGTGAAGTTGATTACTGTAGAAGTTTTGTGTTTACCTATGGTCCGTCGTGACCATCGTATTCAGATTATACTTATATTTCAATTTATCGCTTCGTAGGTGGACATGAAGATTAGAGCGATAAAAATGGGTCGAATTAAGCATCGTCATTGCCAGATACCGAAGTTCGGAGCACAGAAGGAGGCAACTTTCGTTGTAGATTTACGTGAGTACCTGCCGGCGACGGCCTTGCCTCACGGTGTTTCAAAACACAACGTATCAATACAATGCGTTGATAAGCGCCCCAAACAATACGAGCTATTTGCAAGTATTTATTTGGATAACACGAGAGAATAAGAATCATTGATTTTTCGAACTGTTCTTACATTGGGTATGATTGTATGAATTGTCAGGGACAAAAGATGATTGTTCAAATCTCAGAATTGGTCGTCAGTTCCCTTTTATAAATATTATAAATATGGATTTACATTCTTAAGCCCTTAAGCTCAAGATGCCGCTTACGTTAAATTTATTAGTTCTCCTACAGACGCGTGAAAAAAAATGTTACATATGTCTAAAAAATTAAAGCATTTATTCTTTTGACACAGAAGGAGGCAACTTTCGTTGTAGATTTACGTGAGTACCTGCCGGCGACGGCCTTACCTCACGGTGTTCAAAACACAACGGATCAATACAATGCGTTGATCAGCGCCCCAAACAAAACGAGCTTATGCAAGTATTTATTTGGATACCAGTGGCAGTGTGTCTGGGTCCACACTACCATCTTGGTATGATTCGAGGCCGACCTAAAACCTCTTCCGTTTTCGGGTACGGCACCCAGTTACTTGTGTAACTTCTTTTTTCGAACTGAAAATTCAGTTCTTCCAGCATTTAGGTTTAAACCACAGCCACCACGATACTCCCCAAAGGGCCGAACCCAATGAGCAGATTGAACAGAAGTCCAAGGGCTTTCTGCTCCCCGTGGTACCGGAAAGTCTCCGGTCAGACTGCGTAGCCTAAACTACTGCCAGTTGAGCTACCCATTACTCAAATGACTGGTGACATTTGTCGCTTGAACTTCAAATGTCTTTTTATTTGCTTTTTCATTTAAAGTGTTTCTAATATCAGTTCAAGCTGAGTATTATAGCACTATCACTCCATATACTATGCTGTTATTACTGGGCAAAGAATATAATAACAGTCATAGTGCATATTGGCTTTTAGTCGCCTTTTACGACAGGCATGCCTTGCCGCGGGCATATTCTTTCCCCAAACCCGACAGAAGGAGGCAGTAGGATTAACTATCTTATCTATACTTGTACAAGTCGTTATAACAGCTATTACGTGTATTTCGAGATTTTCTACAAACTTAAGTGCGTATTACTAAATTAGATCCCTTTAAACTCGTTATAATAGTTAAGGATTCCTCATAAATATTTAGCGGTTTATAAAGTTAATACATATAACAAAAACTGCGCTAAGTGGCTGGCATGAGCGCTTATGAACCTAAGTTTCTTCATTCTGTCTTTGCAAATCGGTTGCCATAAATGTAAATAATGCCTACGTATAACCTACCTACGTTATAGCTACATTCGTCCGATGACAATAGCTTTTCAGAACGTAGGTTTCTTGATTGCATCTTTCGAAATAGCGAAAGGTCTCTCCTATATCCTCCTATATATTAGATATCTTAACTGTTATCTTGTTAGGAACAGACGGTGAATCCCATTTTATGCGAGCTCTCATATAATCAGGCGAAACCGCAACAACAAATCACGTCTAATCGTTTTTTGCAATCCCAATCTCTATTTCTTTACAATCTGAAGTTTTATTACTTGACCTTCGCCTTGCTTTGTTCGAATTTTCAATTAGGGTTTAAACTTTAAAGTAGTAGTAATAAAATACTCCATTTTCAACTGTTTGTTGCACCTGATTCGATAAAGTGGAATTTTAATAAGTAATAAATGCAATAAAATTGAGAAAAATAAAGCAATTCAACCTTAATGCATACTAATTGCCTAACAACAAATCAATAATCGTCTAAAAAGTAAAGGTGAGAGTGACATATCAGATGATGATAACGCGAAGAAATAAACAAATGACATAAAAATTGAGATTAGGTTAGAAAAGCACCATATTAAAAATATAATAAAACAAGTAAGGAAGCGCTAAGTTCGGATATAACCGAACATTTTATGCGCTCGCAAAGCCAAATGGTATACTCGTTTGAGATTTCTTTGTGGATTGACTGATATTTTCGGTAGAAGGTCAACTATAGGCACCTGGGTCCACATATTTAGCACTTAGGGGCTTGAAAAGTTTTGGTTCGATTTAGACAATTTTTGGTCACAAGGTGGCATACTTTAATCGCATTATTCACGCAAAGTTTTACCCCGATATAATCATTGTTGCTTGATATGCATAGTGGAAAGTGAGAGAATCAGATGGAATTGAAAATGGTGTTATATGGGAAATAGGCGTGGTTGTAGTCCATTTTCGCACTATGACATAGAAATATCAAAAGAACGTTATGCACCGAATTTGGTTGAAATCGGTTAAGCAGATCCCAGGATATGGGTTTTCACCTAAAAGTGGGCGGTGCCACGCCCACTGACTAATTTTGAACGCGGTTCCTATAAAGCCAACTCATACCATCCCAGAGATAAAATTTCATGTCTCTGGCGTGTTTAGTGCTTGATTTATCGCGCTTTTAGTAGTTTTTAACAGTACCGTTATATGGGGAGTGGGCGGAGTTGGCACCCGATTTCAACTATTTTCACACTGTGGGTAGAGGTTCTAAAAAATTTGCTTCAACTCATCTCTTTATCCTGATCATTTATATATATATAACCCTATATCTAACTCGATTAGTTTTAGGTGATACAAACAACCGTTAGGTGAACAAAACTATTATACTCTGTAACAACAGGTTGCGAGAGTATTATAAAAATATATGCATTTGATAACAATTCCAATCTCACTTCGGTTAGTAACAACCAGGGGATCGAATCACACATTTGTGGAAACGCTGACTTAAATAAAACCAGCTCTTTTACTGCTTCGAATTATTATCATTTATTGTTGGGTAAATATTAATAAAATTAATTGTGCAAAATCTAAAGTTCACAAAACAAGGTTGGCTAGATCGGGCAACTTGATCATCCAATCAAAATGTCATCCTCTTTCGTTTCCCTCAGTGCTCACATATAGGTACATTAACAGCAAAGAATACATTGAGCTCGATGAGTGCTGCACAAACAATGAAACAGACATATAAAATGGCGCATATTAAACCCACTTTACGATCCAATTTAAAACGATTTAATAGCAATGTTAGAAAGAGACAAATAACAGACGCAAGCAGAAAGGTGACGGAATATGTGAGTCCATTAGAATTGGGCACAACCCACATTTCATCGGGATGGTTTGGCAAAAAATAAGCTTTAATAAACCAAGGCACACTGAGACAAAGTAAAATGTCGAATGTATTCGATCCGATTGCATTACTGATGCCCATAGCGCCAAGTCCCTGTTTCGTGACAATAATGCTGGATACGGCTTCCGGTACACTCATGCCGGCGGAGAGTATTGTGAGCCCCATAACAGAGTCGGGTATGTTGAGCGTATCGCCTGTAAAGAAAGTGAGAGAGATTTGTTTAAAGTCATATGCTATGCAGCGATGATATTGGGAGAGTTCTACATAAAAACAAGAAAAAACGTTAACTTCAGTTGCGCCGAAGCTATAATATCCTTCGCAAATACAAAGGCCCCTTACAAGAACTTGATTCCAAACGTTCAATTTGTATGGCAGCTATATGATATAGTGATCTGATCTGACCAATTTCTGT